GCGCGCTGCTATCTTATCGATGCTGGCTCGCGCGTGGTGGTGGCGGTGGTGGTGGCGGGGGTGGCAGCGGCAGCAGTGATGGTGGCAGTGGTGGTGGTGGCCTAATGCTCTGTGCAACGTCAGTGTTGATACTCACTGGGCCTGATGCACAGGTTGGCAAATGAACGTTTTGGTTTTCATTTTTGGCACGCATTTTACTCACGCGATCTGAGCCAAAACAAACAAAAAATTCGTATGTTGAACTTCTTTTGCACCGTACGTATAGCTAACTGTGCCAATGGGAGGTGAGATTTTGAACTTGAGTTGAGTAGAAGGTACGGAAACTCGACACCTCGTGGTCGTACCCGAGTCCCGTGAGGCCCCTAAATTTGGTATTCCATTGATAATCTATTTACTGTGCCAGTGAATAAACAACGAATGGAGTTTTTTTTTTAATTGTTATTAAAGTAGGTCCCCCTTTAAAAAAAAAAAGCTTCGAATTTCGGCACTACCCCACCCTTTGTTATGAAGTTTCTCGCTCTCCGCCTCTGGTACTGTGGCTCACGGCAGTGCACAGTGTGGGCCCACTACAGATCTGCAAACCGAACGCGCAGCAGAATTAATCCACCAGACAGGGGCGACTTGCTTGCCTCTGTCACATGCTCCTCCTCCTCCTTCACATCAGCCTCTTCCTCCTCCTCCTCCTCCACCGCCTCCACCTCCTCCTCGGCCTCCTCCTCCTATTGGTCGACATGAAGAGCTGTCTGGTGATGTCTCGCACACACAGACACGCAGTGACGCCGCACGTTGTGAAAGCGCTGACGAGTGAAGGTATTAAAAGCAGCGATCACTCTGAGACAGTGGCCCAATGTCTGGGCGTGACTTTAGAGAATGAGTGGCTGTATTGTAGACTGGGAGGGGGGTCCATTAATATTGCAGTATCCCTCTCTCTGTCTCTCTTACAAGCGCATCCCTTCAAAGCCAGTGTCGTGTACTCAAGGCACATGAATTTTGAATGGAAAGAGCAGCTGGACGAGTGGCTCACAGGGTCCTCATCCTGTTACCATGACACGACTGTGACATCCATCGGTCTTTTATGAGAGTCTCGCCTCTATATTCCACTCTCTGAATCTCACCTCTGAATCTCACCTCTAATTATCACCCCTGAATCTCACCTCTGAGAATCTCAGCCCTGAGAATCTCACCTCTGAATCTCACCTCTGAATCTCACCTCTCAATCTCACCCCTGAATCTCACCTCTGAGAATCTCAGCTCTGAGAATCTCACCTCCGAATCTCACCTCTGAATTTCACCTCTGAAACTCACCTCAGAAAGTCACCTCTAGGCATCTCACCTCTGAGAATCTCAGCTCTGAGAATCTCACCTCCGAATCTCACCTCTGAATCTCACCTCTGAAACTCACCTCTAAGAAGCTCACCTCTGAGAATCTCATCTCCGAACCTCAACTCTGAGATTCTTATTGACTCTTATGTAAACAACCGTGCTGAATGAAGCTCTAGTTTGAGATCTACGTGAGACCTCAGTGGAGCCAGTGCCGGATTATTCTAGTAGCAACAGTAGCTACATATGTAGTAGCTACTACTACATATGTAGCTACTACATATATAGTAGCTACATATGTAGTAGCTACTACCACAGTGAGGGAAAAAAGTATTTGATCCCCTGCTGATTTTGTACGTTTGCCAAATTACAAAGAAATGATCAGTCTATAATTTTAATGGTAGGTTTATTTGAACAGTGAGAGACAGAATAGCAACAAGAAAATCCAGAAAAACGCATGTCAAAAATGTTATAAATTGATTTGCATTTTAATGAAGGAAATAAGTATTTGACCCCCTCTCAATAAGAAAGATTTCTGGCTCCCAGGTGTCTTTTATACAGGTAACGAGCTGAGATTAGGAGCACACTCTTAAAGGGAGTGCTCCTAGTCTCAGCTTGTTACCTGTATAAAAGACACCTGTCCACAGAAGCAATCAATCAATCAGATTCCAGACTCTCCACCATGGCCAAGACCAAAGAGCTCTCCAAGGATGTCAGGGACAAGATTGTAGACCTAGAAAAGGCTGGAATGGGCTACAAGACCATTGCCAAGCAGCTTGGTGAGAAAGTGACAACAGTTGGTGCGATTATTCGCCAATGGAAGAAACACAAAGAACTGTCAATCTCCCTCGGCCTGGGACTCCATGCAAGATCTCACCTGGTGGAGTTGCAATGATCATGAGAACGATGAGGAATCAGCCCAGAACTACACGGGAGGATCTTGTTAATTATCTCAAGGCAGCTGGGACCATAGTCACCAAGAAAACAATTGGTAACACACTACGCCGTGAAGGACTGAAATCCTGCAGCGCCCGTTAGGTCCCCCTGCTCAAGAAAAAGCACATATACATGCCCGTCTGAAGTTTGCCAATGAACATCTGAATGATTCAGAGGACAACTGGGTGAAAGTGTTGTGGTCAGATGAGACCAAAATGGAGCTCTTTGGCATCAACTCAACTCGCCGTGTTTTTAGGAGGAATGCTGCCTATGACCTCAAGAACACCATCCCCACCGTCAAACATGGAGGTGGAAACATTATGTTTTGGAGGTGTTTTTCTGTTAAGGGGACAGGACAACTTCACCGCATCAAAGGGACGATGGACGGAGCCATGCACCGTCAAATCTTGGGTGAGAACCTCCTTCCCTCAGCCAGGACATTGAAAATGGGTCGTGGATAGGTAATCCAGCATGACAATGACCGAAAACACACGGCCAAGGCAACAAAGGAGTGGCTCAAGAGGAAGCACATTAAGGTCCTGGAGTGGCCTAGCCAGTCTCCAGACCTTAATCCCATAGAAAATCTGTGGAGGGAGCTGAAGGTTCGAGTTGCCAAACGTCAGCCTCGAAACCTTAATGACTTGGAGAAGATCTGCAAAGAGGAGTGGGACAAAATCCCTCCTGAGATGTGTGCAAACCTGGTGGCCAACTACAAGAAACGTCTGACCTCTGTGATTGCCAACAATGGTTTTGCCACCAAGTACTAAGTCATGTTTTGCAGAAGGGTCAAATACTTATTTCCCTCATTAAAATGCAAATCAATTTATAACATTTTTGACATGCGTTTTTCTGGATTTTGTTGTTATTCTGTCTCTCACTGTTCAAATAAACCTACCATTAAAATTCTAGACTGATCATTTCTTTGTCAGTGGGCAAACGTACAAAATCAGCAGGGGATCAAATACTTTTTTCCCTCACTGTACATATGCTACGGGCCCCGCACTTTCAAGGGCCCCACGCTAAATGCTTTCAAGCTGTCAATTCCGGTAATTCTGCACTAGCTCTATTACTATAGTACTATACCGCCTTCAACTTTTATGAATGACTGGGTGTTTAAGGTTAGCTATTTGTCGTATTATCCGGCTATATAGCAAATGAAAAAATACGATTACTTTATTATGCAAGTTAAAAATGTGCGTGTTAATGTGTGTGTTTTGTTTATTTATTTAAGGGCCATTTATGACATAAGCTTCAGGCCCCGCACGAGCCTAATCCGACACTGAGTGGAGCCGGCCAATGACAGCGCTTGACACGAGCCCCAGTCGACGATGACACCCAACGCCGTCCCCTTTCGTGGCTTTTAAAATCAAATATTTAGAGGTGCGCAATTATACACACACGAACGGCTGAAGCTATGAGGAAAATGTTCGTAAGAAAAGTACAACACTTGACCAGTGAACTACAAATGACGAATTTAAAACACCACATACATCAGGACTTCAATGCCCAGTTCGAGCAGACTCAGTTTTGAGTTATTTAAACCCGTGGTAAGTCATGTAGCTGCTGTTCAGTATTACATTTATGGTTAAAGCTGAGAGTACATATACACTAAAATAATTTACAGCCCTTTGTCAATCCATTGCCTATGAAGACCTCCCCCAAATTGTCAGCCATTACGTTTGTTTAACCATACTTCACCATGCTGGTCAGAGCAGATTGGTGAAGGGCGGGGTGGAGAAGTTGGGACTCAGGACCGGTTCAGATGTCCCTCGCCACTGATGTGAGCCATGGCTGGGAATCAAACTCGGGGGGGGGAGGGCAGCTTCGTAGTGCAGTGCGCTAACCGCTGCGCCACCGCTCACCTCACCCCCCCCCCCCCCACTGTGCCGTACGAAATAAGGTCAAATTAAAACGTACAGACGTGAAAATGAAAATCATCTGCGGATGAAATTATTTAAATGCGCGTTAGTGTTTCAAAATCAAGTCACCACTGCAATGTGAGCTGAAAGAGAAGCCGTAAACAAAGAGGTTATGGAAGCCAAACCTTGAAACTGTAAATACATTAATGTATAAAATTCAACAACAACAACAAACTGTAAATGAGCACTCAGCGACACATTAAGAGCCGAGCCATCATCGGCACAGGCCGCGGCAGGGCTGGCTTGCCTCAACCCCAGCAACCTCCTCCACCTCCTCAGCCTCCTCCTTGACCTCCCCTGGGTCCGTGTGGAGCCACACACGGTCATGTGACAGAAAATGACGTCACTGAGGAGGTTACATCTTCACGACGGTTGTGCTACAGGTGTGATAACAATGACCCGGTTCTTCCAGGAAAATCCTCGCCGAGTCTGAAGGCTTATTTTCAAGAGAGCCCTGCCATGGGCTATTGAGTGATTTGGCTTCACGTGGGAGAAAACAAGAGCACCCAGAGCCAAAAAAAACAAAATAAAAACTATTTAAAATATATATTTAATATTTTAACAGACAAGGCCCTCTGAGCTATATAGCTCTTTTTCAGAAGCAACCTGGCCATAAATGATAGCTAAACGAAGTGGCTTATCATCATGTGGCAATGTATAGCAGCCAAATACTCTATGAACGCATGTTTATTCTAAACGTGGAGGGAAAAACCTGAGGACCTGGAGAAAACTTCACGCTACCACGGAGAGAGAGAGATACACAAGCTCCAAATATACAGCAGCAATGGGCATCAGGGTCGGGATTGAACCCACGACCTCCTGTATACCAGGCAAGGTAGTTAACATCTCCTAGCCACCGTGGCACATTATGAGAGTAAAAAATACTGAAATCTCTGCTCAGATAGATTTGAAAATCAAATGCCTCACTGCCACCTCCTGACCCGCTCACAGTGAGCGTCTTCAACAGGTGATAATGGAGGCAGTCTCCCAAAAGGTACACTAGCCAGGATGAGCTCGGCTTGGATTCCAAGTTCCAATGAAGTAAGGTGCATTGAGGGGCGATGTGTTAGTTAGGCTACTGATGTTTAATGGTGAACCCGACTCTGACACAGAGTAATGTCACACTCCAGTGCACTGTGATGACAGAGTTCCCCATGAGATACAAGCTCATATGGTCTCATCCGAGCGTTGCCCATCACTGCATTAGAAATAAATAAAAAATCGCACGAAAGTGATTTTAACTGACTTCACTGCGAAAATTCACCATGATCATCATCAGTCACTGACAATCCACTGCTGATGAAGGCTTCCCCACGCTTATGTTGGTCATGGACGATTGTCTGACCATACTTCACCACGCTGGTAAGTGTGGGTTGGTAGAACGACGCTGCTCAGGACCGGTCTCAGTTATTGCTCGTCACTGATGTAGCCATGACTGGGAATAGAACTCGGGTAGCCAGCTTCGTAGTGCAGTGCGCTAACCACTGTGCCACCGCTCACCTCAACCCCCACTGTGCCGTACGAAATAAGGTCAAATAAAAAGTTAGAGACGTGAAAATGGAAATAATCCGCGGACGAAATAATTTAAATCCGCGTTAGTTTTTCAAAACCAAATCGACACTGCAATGTGAGCTGAAAGAGAAGCCGTCAACAAAGAGGTTATGGAATAAAAACCTTGAAACTGTAAATAAATTAATTAAAATATCCAACAACCAAAACTGTCCATGAGTAGTCAGCGAAGCATTAAGAGCCGAGCGAACATCGGAACAGGCCGCAGGGCTGGCTTGCCTCAACCCCAGCAACCTCCTCCACCTCCTCAGCCTCCTCCTCCTTGACCTCCTCCTGGGTCAGTGTGGAGCCACACACGGTCATGCGACAGGAAGTGACGTCACTGGGTAGGTTACATCTTCACTACGGTTGCCACGTGTGTCAATGGGCGTCTGTGAACATCAACATTCGCGGCATCTACGCAACGTTACACGACGCGATATGCCACCCAGCAAAGAACTGACCTCATTAACGTGACTTAGCATAATAAGAACATATTCTTGGTTCATATTCTTAGCTCTTTCGGTAAAGTCACGTTAAATAAACGGCGCATTTATTTGTTTATATAATTTATAAGTAAATAAATGCACCGTTAAAAAATAAATTAATGCAGACCGATGCACCTGATGACGACCGTTTGTGTTATGGTCGAAACGTCGTGAGAATTTTTATTGTTTTATATATTTTTTTTATTATTTTATTGTTTCCCTTCAACGTGACTTTACCGAAAGAGCTAAGAATATGAATCACTGCAGTCACGAAAGCTTTAAATCAAAATATTCTTGGTTCTTTCAGTAAAGTCACGTATAAGGGAAACAATAAAATAATACAAATATAAAACAATAAAATTCTCACGACGTTTCGACTGCAACACAAGCAATCATCATCAGGTGGTAAAACCACAGCAATAAAATTTGAAAAAAGTGGCGGTGTTTATTTTATTATTTTCTTGTTTCCCTTCTACGTGACTTTACCGAAAGAACCAAGAATATGAATCCCTGCAGTCACGAAAGCTTTAAATACAAATTTAAGAAGAATAGCGACAAGGAGATTAAAGCCCTCTTTGTCAATCCCCCAGGAAAAGCCTCATCGAGTCTCAAGGCTCCTTTTCATGAGAGTCCTTTCATTGGGATATTTGGTAAATTTCCCCGATAAGTGTTTGGCTTAACACACACCCACACAATGCGCCTCCTTCACGTATCTATCCATCCACATAACACAATAAACGATGTTATATTACCCATCCCATCAGCCACACTGCCTTCTGGGAGTGCGTAATTTCAGCAGCACCGTTCAACACAAACTCTGGGGGCCTCTTTAAACATTCAGTGTCTCATCAGCAAGAGTCATGCTTGCTTGAACGTAAGGGGTGACCAGTGAGTGGCTCAACTCGATCTTCACTAATCACACACAATGATGATGATCAAATGATGATGATGGGACTAATACTAATGACTGTACTAATTCGATCGTGATATTGATTGCAATGGGCGCATTGATAAAGATGGAGTGGCACAGTGAAGCAAATCTCAACCATTCAAAATGCGGTTTACCACACTACAATCCCTTTACAATACCAACAGCAACATCATCATTATCATCGGCCTCGGTTAATCCACTGCTAGATGAAACCGTCCTGCCCAGCCGTCACACCTCGGGGTCCCGTGACCCCGTAACGATCTACCGAGCAGCTTGCAGAGCGGCTGAAATCCATCGTGAACTTTGACCTCGGTTTTTGCATCAACGTCATCCGACCTCGCTGTGAGTCTTGCGAAGGAGGAAATACGGCACTTGACGCGAAGCGCCTTGCGGTGGAAGGATTAAGTGGCGTTTACTAGGCGCGTAAATCGTTGCCGAGGCAGGAATGAATGCAGCACTGCCAGCCTGGATATCACGTCAAGTGACCTCCCGCTCAATTGGGCAGTGAGGCGGGACCTCCCTTCCCATTGAACATTGAATGAACGTTTCACAAACGTTGCGGCATTTCGTCCGAATGTAAAATTTTAAAAATTCCCATCCAATACCGGTTAGACTGCACTGTGCTGCACACCGGTACGGATACAATTGTGTTGTGACAATGTTTGTGATGTCCAGAGTTCCGTGTCACCATCCGGCCAGGTGGCTCACAGCGTTCGAGAAAGCGACCCGCGATCGGAAAAGTTGCGGGTTCGAACCCTGGTTGTGAGGGGAGGGGGGGGTTGACTTAGCCCATCGGCATCATCATACTGCCACGGTCGGTAAAATTCGTACCACTTTGTGGATAAGTCATTGATAGTTGTCCTTTTGGCACAAAGGATTTCGCGACCAATATTATTCATAATAAAGGTTGTTTAGGGTTAGATCGCGTAAATATAAATATAGCTTTGTATCTGTAAAGGGTTTTAAACTAAATGTCTACTCTGATCGTAACGAAAGAGGTGAATAATCTCACGTTAAATATTTCGCCCTATTACCGCGGATCTGTGTCTTGGTTGATGTAATTAATACCGGAACGTCACAGTACTCAAATTGTAAATGTTGTGGATTTACTCTCCAACACACCGGTGGGCTGAAGCAATAACTAACTGCCACGTTTTGTTTACGTGACAACCCTTACTAATTGGCTGTGCCGGGTGGTGGCGGGTTAAGGACACATTTATACTCACACGATCTCACCAGAAAATATAAAAAAAAACCTTTATTATGGATGGTTGTCCTATGGATAGACTCGAACCCAACCATATGGAATGAGAAATTTCCACCAACTGTCTGCAGTATTGTAAGCAGGAGATGAGCGCCAAATGCTAATTTGAGCAGGAAATTACTCTGGCATTTGACTTGAATTGTGTAACCAAACTGAGTTGTAAATAAACCACAATTTGGTGAAGCAATGTCAGTGTGCGAATGACGTTGCACGGGTGAAACTCGCCAGGGCGGAGGAAACTCAAACAAACCCACCATGTCTGTGGAGGAAGGAGTCTTGTACCATAAAATAACACACAATGGGGCAAGCAGGGACGAGAAAGATTAGTCATTACGAAGATGATGAATGAAGGCTGCATCCCAAGTAGCCCGCTCGCATTGAACCAACGTTGGCCGGTTCTGAGCAACTATTACCCATCGTCGTCACTTGTCAAAGGCCACGATCAATCCACTGCTGGATGAAGGCCTCCCCCAAGCCATCGCCATGCCACACGCCGTCTCGATGTAACAATCCGTCCGGCGCCTGCACCAGTCTTTTAACCAGTCCCGAATCCTTACCCGCAGCACCGCTTCTCCCACGTCATGCTGCAAACTCTTTGATCGCCCCCCGTACACGGACGTCTCCCTGCCGCCGTGCAGTGCGCCGTCTAAACCACCGCCAGTTAATTTGCACGCCAAAAAGAAAGAACTCGCTAAATGTGCAGCTGTGCTTCAGCGTCACCAACGTGACCACGAGGCATGCTTCATCCACTGCTGGACGAAGGCCTCGCCCACGCTGTCAACGCCTCGCACAATACGCCACGATCTATCCAGCTCCCGCACACGAGCCGATATCATCGCTCCATCTCCGAAGAGGACGAAACATTTTGGGGCCTTCCCTCATTTGGTTGCCATCATCCTTTCTCGGGACATGTCCTGCCCAATTAAGCAACTTTTATGCTTATTTTATTTTACCAGGTAAGGCCCCACTGAGCTATGTAGCTCTTTTTAATAGGCGACCTGGCCACAAATGATAGCTCAACGAAGTGGCTCGTGCCGTGGAAATGTATAGCAGCCAAATACTCTAAACGCGTGTTCCTAGACGTGGAGGCATAAACCGGAGGACTCGGAGAAAAATCCACGCGACCACGGGGAGAGAGACACGCAAACTTCAAATATACAGCAGGCATCAGGGTCGGGATCGAACCCCCCCCCCGAACCTCCTGCATACCAGGCGAGGTAGTTAACATCTCGCCACCTTGGCACCCTTTCGTAACAGTCCTTGGGTCCCTCCCCGCGTCTCTCAGTGTAACCCTACGCGCCCACTCCTCCATCGCTTCTGGCCCTGAGTGGACTCAGTGCGGCGGGCTGCCTGGGATGCGATGGGGCACAGCACGCAAGCGATCGACATTTGACCACAGCGCGCGCACAGGCCGGCAGTCCTGCTTGCCTCATTCGCAGGCAGCTCCACCTCTTCTTCCACCTGCTCCTCCTCCTCCACCTCCTCCTTTCCATCAGCATGGTACAAAAAAAAAACACGGTCACGTGGCAGGCGGCGGACGCCGCGAGCATCGTCGCTTTCAACAAAACGCGTCGCCAGGTTTCATCGACCGATGGTGTTCACTTCAAGGGGTGTTGCGCCCAGGAGTGGCGGCGATGATGCGCGAGCAAGACCGAGCGACAGTGTAGGGGTGGCCCAAGGGGTCCCGGAGTCACGTCAAAAAATAAATTACGGTGCACCGAATATCAGCCCATCATTCAGATTCTGCTAAAAGTGAACCCCCGCCCCCTGCACACGCGCGCTAATGAATATCTATCCGTCGCCTCGATCTTGTTCGCAGCTCTCTTCTCTCACTCAGGCAACAAAAACAAATTGAGCAACAGCGCTCGTTATTTTTCAGGCTGGCCACGTGCGTGGGCCGTGACGCCAGCGCACAATGGCCTCCTCTCGCGAACGACGTCCTCAATGAGACGGGGTGGTGCGTTGGTGTTGCCCCCGGTTTACACACAACCGCAGTGTTCGATGTTGTACGTTGTACTTACACGTTGAACTTCTGTCGCACCGTACGTAGCCAACCGTGCTAATCGGAGGTGTGGGGGAAGGACGAGAAAAACTGAACACAAAAAGCGGTTCAATAGCAGTGAGCTATCAAACCCTTTGCGTCAGACTTCCTCCGATGAACTTGAGTCACGATTTATAATCATTAACCGTGGCAGGCTGCCAGATTCGAACCGTGAGCTTTTGTAACAAAGTGTCGAACGCTCTACCGCTACGCCGTGTCCCCACCCGGACAAAGGACGATTAACTTCCGGTACCTCGTGGTCTTCTGCCTGCGGTTCGTCCAAAGTCTCCTCCACTGGGGCCTCCTCCACTTCTGCCTGTGGAGGCGACAAGACCATGCATCTTGCCGTCAAACTGAGCCGTTAAACTGAGCCGTGACAGAGCCGTGCCAAGGAAACAAAGCGGTTTTTTTTTTTGCCACAGCAGAACCCGAGCCACGCTGCTGATGAGTCTACCGACTGACGCACGTGTGGCAACAAATATTAGCCCCGACCCTGGCCCTGCTTGGCCCCCGAGCCTGAATCAGAAGGTCATCGTGTCTAAACTAAATTTTTAACTATTTTTTATTTTACCAGGTAAGATCCTCTGAGCTATATAGCTCTCCTTGGGAAGCGACCTGGCCACAAATGATAGCGCAAAGAAGTGGCTTATCACGTGGAAATGTATTGCAGCCAGATACTCAAATAATATAATCAAAACTCGTTTATAAATGTGGAGGGAAAAAAACTTGAGGAGCTGGCGAAAAAGCAACGCGACCAGGGGGAAAATGACATGCAAACTACATATATACAGGCATCAGGTCGGGATCGAACCCACGACCGTCCTGTATACCAGGCGAGGTAGTTAACATCTCCGAGCCACCGTGGTGTCACAGTCTGCTCCTGGCTCGGCTCGACAAATAACCAGAGGAAAGCCACCCGTACTGAGAGAGCCCAGCGCCGGTTCGGCTCGGATGTGTCAGTGGAAATGGGGTCATGTTTAACGGTCATATTTTCCGTGGCGTTAAACGCCGGCTCAAGATTATTTAGAAACGCCACAATCCCACACTGCTCCTGCACACGCGCTCCGATTTCACCGCTCCATCTCCGCTGTGGTCGTACGCTCGGGCTCGTTCCTTCCTTTGCTGGCCACCACTGCCTCGTCAGTCTCGGCCATCGGCCACCATCCCTTTTGGGCCGTATGCCCTACCCAAGGCCACTTGCTTGTCTAAACGATCAATGTGCCGCTCTATAAATAGGTCCGATAGGAATTATTTACTTTGAATATTTCGACTCCGCTGGGTCGCGGGAATGGGCAATGCGGTGCCCCAGTAGGGGTTGTGTGTGCATGCCCCGGCCCCGCTGGGGGCCGGCACGGCCGCATCGAGAATTCGAGTCGCGCGTAGCCCAGATGCCATCTGGGGTTGCCACCTGGTCCTGGTGATTGGTAGGTCCAGTTTTTTTCAGTCAGTTGTACAAGTAGGAATTATGCCCACTCGAAACAATAAGTTTACACGTGAAACAATGACCTAGGGGCTGAGTCCCGCTCGCGGCCAACACCGGTGACGATGATCTGAACCGGTAGTGGGCCCTCCCCTACGTCGACTCAGCCTTAAATGGGTAAACGGTGCGGTGTGTGTTACCATCAGCAATGGAGAGATAAAGGCTTGCCGTGCCGGCACGTTAACCTCCCTTGCCCCAGCAGTCCGTTGAAGGCTATTCGGGGAATCTTTGTCTTTGCTGCGTGTGCTTTTAACACTCGTGGGTGTCAAACCTTTTCTTGGGGCGGTGGGGCTATTCCGAGGAACGTGAGGATGGCTTCATTCTCCTTCGCATCGAAGAAAGCCTCATAATCCTGAAGGAGTGAGGGAGGAAGACAGATCACACGATTTCACATCAAGTGGTTAATTCGGGTGTTTGTTGTTGTTGTGTATCTCTCCCCTTACCTCTGCCAATTGATTACAAATCCGCTCTCGACATCATCTCACGAGATGAAGAATCTATTCCAAAACAATCATAATAATAATGAATCTCTCGAAGAGCAGAGGAGTGCAGAGATAAGGTTCCCACCTCGAGTGGAGGTGGCAGAAAAAATCACCCGGGACATATCGTGAAGCAGAATATCTCAGTGGATGAACGGGACCGTTGACCCTCCTGCAGTGTAAGTGCAGAGGGCAGAGGAGTTCGGGCGTGGACTTTATCATCGCAGCTGGTAAGGCCTCGCTGGAGCTTAGCCAGACGTTTCGACGCTGACGACCGCAGCTCAAAAAGACGAGAGAACTTCACGTAAATGCATCGTCCTGAGTGATGGTGATTCGTTGTTGTTGTTATGATTATTATGAATGCAGCAGTGGCGGCAGAATGTGCATGCATAATCTACATGCATGATGTACATACGTAAATGTACATGCATTATGTATGTTGATTAACTGTGAATAGCCCACCAATAATATACAGTGAGGGAAAAATTATTTGAGCCCCTGCTGATTTTGTACGTTTGCCCACTGACAAAGAAGTTTGCCAATGAACATGTGAATGATTCAGAGGACAACTGGGTGGAAGTGTTGTGGTCAGATGAGACCAAAATGGAGCTCTTTGGCATCAACTCAACTCGCCGTGTTTGGAGGAGGAGGAGGAATGCTGCCTATGACCCCAAGAGCACGATCCCCACCGTCAAACATGAAGGTGGAAATATTATGCTTTGGGGTGTTTTTCTGCTAAGGGGACAGGACAACTTCACCGCATCAAAGGGACGATGGACGGGGCCATGTACCGTCAAATCTTGGGTGAGAACCTCCCTCCCTCAGCCAGGGCATTGAAAATGGGTCATAGATGGGTATTCCAGGATGACAATGACCCAAAACACACGGCCAAGGCAACAAAGGAGTGGCTCAAGAAGAAGCACATTAAGGTACTGGAGTGGCCTAGCCAGTCTCCAGACCTTAATCTCATAAAAAATCTGTGGAGGGAGCTGAAGGTTCGAGTTGCCAAACGTCAGCCTCGAAACCTTAATGACTTGGAGAAGATCTGCAAAGAGGAGTGGGACAAAATCCCTCCTGAGATGTGTGCAAACCTGGTGGCCAACTACAAGAAACGTCTGACCTCTGTGATTGCCAACAATGGTTTTGCCACCAAGTACTAAGTCGTGTTTTGCAGAGGGGTCAAATACTTATTTCCCTCATTAAAATGCAACTCAATTTATAACATTTTTGACATGCGTTTTTACGGATGTTTTTTGTTGCTATTCTGTCTCTCACTGTTCAAATAAACCTACCATTAAAATTATAGACTGATCATTTCTTCGTCAGTGGGCAAACGTACAAAATCAGCAGGGGATCAAATATGTTTTTTCCCTCACTGTACATGCATTGCAATTTCTATGAATACCCTAGCAGGAAATATCCGGCGTTGCCCGGGTCACTTGCGGATATCTTTTGCGAATGCAGAGCGGTGGCTCAACCGCTGTGTTCGCAAGGAGGGGGTCAGTGGCGTTAGAGCAACTGTTAAGATGTTGCTGTGCCATTGGGCCTGCTGTAAATGTAACATTGCCTGCCCACAATGGGGTATGACATCATACCGCCGCGCGTGATTGTCGGCAAAATGTGCTCGTTCATCACGAAGCGTGTAACCTGCAAGTGGCAGGGCAATTGCAGCAGGCACGGCGGTAGCTGGAAAAATAAAAAAAATGTCTCATTGACCAAATCGAGGACACATCTCGTTTTGAAGGGTGAACGATGCCGTGCTGTTTGCGTCTCTCGCACGGGAAGGTGACGCACGTGGTCACGGAGGTTCACCGTCAATTGGAATCGCCAACGACGGCTCATCGGAATGACGCGATTAATGCGGAGGGGGGGGGGGTGGTGGTCATCACGTGAATGTGCGATGTGTGCTGGGCGAGGGGCTGGGTGAGGGGTGGTGACGTCGCTGGGAGCGTGTAGGGGGCCGTTTGGGGGGCCCCAGACCCCTCCCCCCCCGATGTAAAATGTTGGCTCGCCACGTGGCTAAGGTAACCCCTGCAAGGTTCGGTGGCGATCGCTTGAACGGTGTGGATTTGTGTTCGGAACAGACAGACTTTCATTCATATACAAGGTGCTTCACAAGCATTGTGACACTTCTGAGAATTCGCAACAACGCCACGAGAAGTGTTCTTCCAGGCTCTGGAGACCACGTGGAGAGGATTCCAGACGTAGCGTTGACAACGATGGCGAACACGTGGAGAGCCTTTGACTTTTCGAAGCTATTAGCAGTACATCTGTTATGACGTCACAGTGCATTATCCCTTCTTTTTCCATTGGAAACGATATTCCCATTTAAGTGTTAACATTTTTGTGGAGCGCGCGGCATATAAGGAAACGCCCTCTCTGGTCCTCACACCTGATTGGCTCCCAAGTGACATTGCCCCCTCCGCTCTGTTTGAGGTCACAAAACAAGGAGGAGGATTTCTCCACAACTCTGGCTGTCGCCTGATGAGCCTGGTTGTTGTTGTTGTTGTTTTGTAATTACCTGCGAAACGTCATGGTTACCCGAATTGTAAATGTTGTGGGTTCTCTCTCAAAAACACAACGAATTGGCACGTTTTGTTTACGTGACAAACCTTACTAATTGCCTGTGTCGGGTGGTGGCGGGAAATAAAGACACATTTTTATTTTAAAAAATCCCCTCTATTATGGGTAACCTTGGTCGTGACAGCCCGACCACGGCAACGTGTCAAAGTGATGATGACTGCGGCTGTCAACCCGGCTGGCACCGCTCCACTCGGGGAGGATTCCATCAGCGGACAAAACAAACGGAGCGGTGGGCCCAGCGTTCTCTGCCGCACCCCATCTCACCCCTCCCACTCACCCTCCACCCCCCTCACCCTCCACCCCCCTCACCCTCCACCCCCCTCACCCTCCATCCCCCTCACCCTCCACCCCCCTCACCCTCCACCCCCCTCACCCTCCACCCCCCTCACCCTCCACCCCCCTCACCCTCCATCCCCCTCACCCTCCACCCCCCTCACCCTCCACCCCCCTCACCCTCCACCCCCCTCACCCTCCACCCCCCTCACCCTCCACCCCCCTCACCCTCACCCCCACAGGTGCCATGGGTTGGCTGACTGAGATGACCGGTAGATGCACCACCAGCTGCCCCCCCTACTGTGCCAGGCTAGGTGCAGGAGGTCACAGGACAGACCCAGCAGGTGCCATGGGCTGAGATGACCGGTAGATGTACCACCAGCTGTCCCATACTGTGCCAGGCTAGGTGCAGGAGGTCACGAGACAGACCCAGCAGGTGCCATGGGCTGACTGAGATGACCGGTAGATGCACCACCAGCTGTACCCCCCCCCCCTACTGTGCCAACTCGCTGGCCACACACCTATCCAACCACCCCCTTCGTGAACCGTGCCGGCCTTCACAGGTGCTGCTCGCCAACAGCACTTGCCCCAACAGTCTGTTAAGGCCACACGGCGTGGGGAGCTCTTTGTCTGTGCGTGCTCCATCCTCGGCGAGTCCCCCGTGATGTGGATGGAAGGCCTCTGACCCCGCAGTAGATCTCCTCGTTGAAGATCTGCGGCGGGAGCGGATTGCCCGCGACGGGCCGCCTCTCGCCCGGCACGTTCTCCCGCATCCAGCGGCGGTTGATGTCGTTCATGGCGATGTCGAGCTCCTCGTAGGCGATGCGGTTCGACTCCAGGAAGCCGACCACGTCCTGCTGCTTCTTCTTGATCTGACGACAATGATAAAGGGGGGGAGGGGTTGGGGGGGAGGGGTGTAAGGGGCCGTACATAAATGACGTCACGCGATTTTGGACGATTTTTGACCCCCCCCCCCTCCTCGTCACACGGCGTCATAAAAGGGCAGACCCCCCCTCATGACGTCACAAAGCTCTGCCCCCCCCCCCCATTTTGAAAATAAAACATGCTTCAAATCGCTTTAAACTATTGTCTTTGTAGTGCGTATTTAATGTGGCGCTGCACTCTGATGTTGTAGGAGAAAACATTTATTCAAAAGTCTATTTAATTAAGTAGAACGTGTCGTCTATATTTATTTAAAGTTGCGCATTTTGATGTGACGTCACATTTCTCAACCCCCCCCCTCGTAACACATCGTCACAAATGTCTGACCCCCCCCCCCCCCGCCTAGGTGCGTGACGTCATTTATGGACGGCCCCTAAGACACGGCTGAACGTGCTTGCGGTTAGAAACGTTGGGGCACCCCCCCCGCCCCCATCTTGCCTCCTCCAACGTTGCATCGACGTTCGTGGCTAAACGTTCCGTGTCTTTTTTTGTCACTCAGCCTCGCGAAGGAGAGAGTCGTGGTGGCGAACCCGCGCTAGGCTCTTCACGGACGGGTGGCATTCCTCTGGTTATTAGTCAGAGCCGAGCCAGGAGCACACTGTGACATCACGGTGGCCAGGAGATGTTAACTACCTCGCCTGGTATACAGGAGGTCGTGGGTTCGATCCCTACCCTGACGACGCCTGCTGTGTATTTGGAGTTTGTGTGTCTCTCTCTCGCATCATCACGGTGGCTAGGAGATGTTAACTACCTCGCCTGGTATACAGGACGGTCGTGGGTTCGATCTCGACCCTGACGATGCCTGCTGCTGTATATTTGGAGTTTGCGTGTCTCTCTCTCGCATCATCATCACGGTGGCTAGGAGATGTTAACTACCTCGCCCGGTATACAGGACGGTCGTGGGTTCGATCTCGACCCTGACGACGCCTGCTGTATATTTGGAGTTTGTGTGTCTCTCTCTCGCATCATCATCACGGTGGCTAGGAGATGTTAACTACCTCGCCTGGTATACAGGACGGTCGTGGGTTCGATCCCGAACCGGACGCCTGCTGCTGCTGTATATTTGGAGTGTGCGTGTGTCTCTGCCTGTGGTCGCGTGGATTTTTTATCCGGGTCCTCCGGTTTTTCCCTCCACATTTAGAAAAAAACCGTGCGTTTAGAGTATTTGGCTGCTACTATAAATTTACACTTGATAAGCCACTTCGTTGAGCTATCGTTTGTGGCCAGGTCGCGTCTGAAAAGGAGCCATTATATAGCTCAGTGGGGCCTTACGTGGAAAAATATGTTTTCGTGTTCATAAAGAGTGCTTATCAAGGATGGCTCCTGTTGTAACGTTCTGACCCGCCCCGGCTGTACATCTGTGAAAAAGAGCTTCATAGATCATCGGATTCCACCAGTATAAATACATATTCTGATTCTGAAAACATCGCTGCGAATGCAACCTTCAACTCTTTAGACCAAACCCGGACAGATTCATTTCTCAGTCAATTGCCAACAATGTGCAGTCCACTGTGAAAAAGTTCAACGCAATACTGGCAGCAGACCTCGACACAAATCATTCCTGCCACCCCTAAACAGAGACGGGGACAGAGAGGCCAGTGCCCGGACTGTACCTGTCATTGGAACATAATTGCTTGCATAAACACATTTGGCTTCTTCGCAAAACGTGGACAGCTAATGGCTCAAACAAACAACACATTCCTGCGGAGGGGGCTGGTAGGAACGTTGGTTGCTCGGTCAGTGGCCAGGGTCAACGGCGGCGTGGTGTATTCTGCAAATATGCCCGACTGTGAGGGAGGGCACAAGCCGGCGTGAGTAGGTTAAACGTTGAGTTTTATAAGGGCACCACGGGGTGACCAGCCCCTCCCCACCCAGCCCCACCCCTCCCACCCCCCACCCAGCCCCACCCTCCCCACCCAGCCCCTTCCCCACCCAGCCCCTCCCTACCCTCCCCTCTCCACCCAGCCCCAGCCCTCCCACGTGGACAGACATCCACAGACATACACAATTAATCCCCTGCCTCCTGTGAATTAATCCCGGTTGGGCTTCCAGTCCACTACGTTTCCCACCAGTATTATTTGCTGACATTCCATTGGCAGTGCACAACGCAACACAGAGCTCCACACACTCTTCAGTAGGAACACTGTGGTCTTAAAAAGAAAAAAATATATCAGGTAAAGTTTTGGGCAATGACCCTTTTTCAGGCCAGGAGGATAGAGAGAGTTGGAGTTATTGATGTGTGCGTGTTCATCTGTATGCGTGTGTGAGCTATAGTGCAGTCGTGAGCGCACTGCACTACAAACCCAACAACCCGAGTTCGATTCCCGCTCACGGCTAACACCGGTGACGATTATCTGAACCGGTTATGGGCCTCCCCTCGGTCGACTCACCCTCAAATAAGTACCTGGCGCGGAGTGTAAACATCGCCACTGGGGAGACAAAGGCGGCCGGGCGTAGTCCTAGCCACCCCCTTGTGTGCCATGCCGGCCTTCATAGGCGCTCGCTAAGATTACTTGCCCCAACAGTCTGTTGAAGGCTATACGGGGGATCTTTGTCTTTGTGCCAACTGTCTGCATGCTGTATGCCCAAGTGTGGAAGTGGTGGTGTGAGCGAGCGTGTGCGCAAGGAGGAGGAGGAGGCTCGTGAATGACACTGCTGGGCAGCTGGGCCCTGAGCTGATTCCCCAAACACATCAGCAGCCACAGGAATGAGCACAGTACTGGGTCGCGCAAAGACAAAGATCCCCCGCGTTGGGGAAAGTGCCTGTTCGCGAGCGATCTACGAAGATCGGACCGGCACGGCACACGAAGGGGTGGGTGGCTACTACTGTGGGAGGCAATCCGATATAGGCGTGATCTTGTTTAAAAGGTATTGACATTTTTTTAGGCGACAGTGGAGCGCAGTGGTAATGCCCGTGACCTTACAGCAAGAAGGGCTTTGGTTTAATTCCCAACTCGTCTGTGAATGTTTTATGTTGTCCCCTGCTCTGAATGGAGGTTCCTTCAGTTCCCTCCAGGTTCTACAATTTATCCCCATAGCTACAAAAATCACACACACACACACACCGCGGAATGTACCGGAATTGGCCCAACATCCCAATGCTGACAAACGACATGCAAATGACTCAATTGGGATCAGACAAAGATCCTCCGTATAGCCTTAACAGACTGTGGGGGCAAATGCCGTTAGCGAGAACCTACGAAGGCCGGCAACGTCACACGAGGGGGGTGGGTGGTCAGCACCACACCCGGCCGTCTTTGTCTCCCGCAGTGATTGATTTGAGGCTGTGGTCGACCTATGGGGAGGCCCAGGACTGGTTCAGATTATCGTCACTGGTGTCGGTGGCCTTGAGCGAGAATGGAACTCGCAGCAGCAGGAACAACATCGCCGCCTACTGCAACAAAAAAAAAACTTGACAGTACCTGAAATAAGTAATATTTTAAAATACTTTTTTTTTTAAACACGCTTTAATTAAATGTACCGTACGAGTAATGGAAGAACTCCACGACTCTAGGAAGTGACCCCGAAGCTTGCCACAACGTATGAGACCGTGGTGATTTACAGCCAACGTCAGTTGAACGTGGACAATTAGAGCCAAGCCGAAACATAACATATAAAAAAAGATGGTTTAAAAAAATGTTGATATAATATAGTATTGTCATCAGTATGACGGAAGTATAGCAAGTTTGCAGTCGATAGCACATTGGGAAGTGTCTTAAAATTGAGTTACAAGATTTGAGGATACAACAACAGAGTGAGTTAATAGAAAGCGTGTAAAAATATTGTTTTAAAATGTTTTTTTTTATTTTTAATGATAGAATAGTATTGTCATAAGTATGACATAAGTATACCAAGTTTGCATTGGGAAGTGGGTTAAAATTTAGTTACAAGAATTGATACCACAACAACAACAACAACAGAGTTAAATAAAAGCGTGTAAAAGAGTCGAGACACGGTGAGGCTTTCTCATGTAAACAAGCGTCACACTAATAATAATTTGGAAATTCGTTTATCCGATAATGTGAATACTTTTAAGTCTAGTCTGAAAACGCATCTTCTTAAGTCAGTTTTTACACGTAGGCTTTCGCGGCCAATATTATTCATAATAAAGGTCTTGGGTTTCGATCGCGTAAATATAAATGTGTGATAAACCCTCCACCACCCGACACAGCCAGTCAGGTTTGTCACGTAAACAAAACGTGGCAATGTACTCGTCGGATTCCTCCAGTATAAATAAATATTCGAATTCTGATAACAATTTATAAAGGGGGGGGGGGGGGGAGTAGGAGGGATGCTGAGCCCCCTCCAGCCTTTGTTTGGGGTTTCTTGTACAGAAAGTTTCCCGCACCTCCGATTAGCACGGCTGGCTACGTACGGCGCAAAAGAAATTCGACATACACATACCCACATACAGGTGTGGGAGGAGGTGGCCACGGAGCAGTCCATTAGAATTGTCAGTGGATCACTCGACGGTGGTCCAGCACCGTGGAAGCAGCAGCAAGGTTAGTGAATCACCCAGACGGAAACTCCCTTCCCGTGGACGTCGATGAGCCAGTGGACCAATGCCCATCAGTTCCACTTGCACAATATAAACACGGCTCGTCATTAATTGGCTGAAAACATTTTAAAATTTATTTCTTTTTAAAACTCATAATGTAGCAGCGGCAGGAACCTCCTGAAAATGAGCCCTACAGCACGGTGTGGCTCTCCTAGATAAATAAGTGAATTATAATAATATAAATAAGCAGACGTAACCAATCGCGTCGCCAGCTCTCCTCCTGAGTTTGCTTTGAGGCCTCCAGTCAAGCAATTCTGGTCGTGCCCTCTGCCAGAATTGTGATTGGACATTTTGTTTTTAATCATGGGACCTTTTTTGCCAGTATCAAGTATTAATAATACATTTTACCCTTTCTGTCAATAAAACAGGTGT